TGAAGATGAAACCAAGTGAGAGACAAGTGCCGAGGACTGATTTTGTATTAACATCAAATGGGCTATGGATTATAAAGAAGGAGATTTTAGATGTGACCTTCACCAATCACTGGGTGTTGAGAATTCAAGTGAGTATAGATGAAAGTAAAGGTAGGAGGAATGGGATGTGGAAGTTACATGTTCAATTTTTGCAAGATCAGAAGACCTGTCAAGAATATGTGAAACTCTATAAAGGATAGAGGATGCAGGTAAGCATGGGGAGCAGGGGATGGAAGTCCAAGGGACTGTTTGAGGGGGGGAGGGGAGAGGTTGTGCATGCCTGTTTGGGGGGGCAAGGGAGGGAGTTGTGCATGCCTGTGTGCGTGCACACATATGTATGTGTGCATGTCTGTGTGCACCTGCATGCCAGCATTGGGGACAGTGGCTGAGGTAGGGCAGGGGGAACGGGGGAAGAATCAGTGAGGGAATGAGGTGGGGGTGGTGCTTCACAGCAGGGAGCTGCATGTCTGGGGCCAGTGGCACGGGGCAGCACGCATACATGCACAGGCCTGCACTCATTGCTCACACTCTGGCCCAAGCAGGATGGAAGCAGCGGGGGACCCCCTTTGGCAGGGCTTGGAGGGGGGAAGGGAATTGCGGATCGGGAGTGAAGGGCACCAGCATGGGAGAAGGGGGCCAGGAGACTGTGGACTGGGCACAGCGAGGGCCAGGGGGTATGGCTCAGGAGAAGCCATCAATCTTGGCAAATGGGTCCCAGTACGAAAAAGGTTCAGAACCACTGTATTAAGGCACAGCAAAACCAACTGCTAGCCCTGAAGTGGCATGTAAGATCTTAAAAGCAATAAATGCTCTGACAAGCTGCATTGAGTAAAATGACTGGCTAATAAGCAGCTATGGATGAGAATTACAACAGATATTGCTAGTTTATTGCTAACAAATCTCACAAGATAGGAACATAAGGGAAAATATCATCTGGTAAATAAACAGAGTTTTCCTATTACTAAAATCATTAAAAATAATTCAAGAGCACAACTGCTTCTGCAGGGAGGTAAAACAAAACAGATTAAACAAACCAAAATATAATAATGAAATTATATTCCTGCTTTGCAATAATTTATAAACTTGGTGATGACTACTTGAACTTTTAAATACAGAAGGTCAATATGGGAACAACGGGTAATCCAGAAGAGTGAAAGAAAATAGCAGCAGCAAGGGAGTGGCCTGATAAAGAAAAGTAACTAGATAGAGCATCTCTGTTTCAGTGCCTGAAAGCGTCAATATGTGATTTTTTTTGTGGTCTGATAAGCCAAAGTACTATTTTTTCAAATGCAATAAGCAGAAATGGGGCTAAGTAAAGCACACACACAGACATTCAGTAGGGGGGCACTTACATATTACAAAAAGTGAACTAGATGATCTGCTAGATCATTTCCACTGTTAGCTATTTTCATCAAAACCAAAAAAATATGTACAACTATGTTAATCTTCCAGTACTTTTTAAAGAAAAAAAATAGTGTATTAAATTGTAAAAGCAATGCGTCCCCAATACAAGGTATCCATCATTCCCTATAAGACACCAGGAGAATTTCAAAGGGTAGCCAAATTGAACTCTGGCAATAAATTAACTCTTTCCTTCTTTGAGACCCAAGATTACATGTCAAATTTGGGAAAATTTACATGTTGCAAGTTATTTTTTGGCTCCTGTGGATGAAGGACTGCAGATGCAAAGCACCATTACAGTCTTACATACACGTCATGCGCTTTGCTTATTAAGGTTCTTCTACATGAAGAAATGGAACAATCAAAAAGCACAAGTTATGTAAAATGTAGACCTTTCTTAATGCACCTAAAATTTAAAAAAGTTATTTTCTGTTTACCTTTTAGAAGCGATACTTTAGCAACAGGTTCATTTAGCTCTTGTTCATCCATCTGGGCATCTAAAAGAAAAGACGTTACATTGCAATGGGTATACTGAAGTCAAGTTCTGTAATCAGATTCTGCAAACAAATCAGAGGAACTTTCACTGTTTCTTCCGCCCCTTACAATTAGCTCCAGGGCAGCAAGATGCAAAATCAAATAATGTTCTCTACTTAAAACATGCAGTTGGTTCAATTTAATAAATTCTTAATGATAAGCTTAATGCTAGATGAAAAGAGAACACTTGAAAGCAATGCAATCTTGCAGAAACTTATATCGAACACTTACCTGTAGTGTCGTCACTGCTTTTCTCCTTGCTTGGGCTGAGTGTGTCTGACAAATCAGATTCTTTTGCTTTTGCTTGGTTCTCTGTAAGAAACAAGAGGAAGCTCAACTAAAATTCACCTATGTTCCATACAACTACCCCCCACCCTCACTATAAATTCTAGGTCTGCCATTACTTCTAAGTTGCAAGTGCAGAACTTCAGAAGACTGGCACATTTGTTCTTTAAAGGAGCCAAAATTTTCCTTAGGTCTTTTACAGTCCTCCAAAACTGACCGAATAACCATAGGGTCACATCTCAAATGCTACAGCCTGTCACGGGATGTAGCAGCCTCACGTATAGCCAGAGCTTTTGTTTAAAGCTGTACTCCTGCCAGTTGGAACCCAGTGTAAAAGCTGATTGTTTTATTCCATCATTCAGGGAACAAATCAGGAAAAAAAATAGAACAACCTTTCTGGAACAATACAGATATTGTAGTATGCAGGAAAGAAACAGCTATTAGGAACAAAACCCTATTTTGCAGCATTTTGGACAAGTAAAACAACAGTAACAGGTGCTTGTATACATTGTAATGGAATAAGAATAGGAAATGAACCATAAATAAAGAGTCTGTAACATGATCAACATAAAAATTAATAACTATAAGTCATTTTAAGTTTTTGTTATAATTACTAGGAAATGAGCTACATCCCTTCCACTAAAGCACCTCTGAAGGGCTTGTGAAACAGCCTTCCCATACTTTGCTCATAATATATTAACATGACATGTACCATGGCCACAGAAAACAAACTTTTAGTTAGGTCAAGGGGCTTCATGAGGAGAACAATGAGAAGGGCTTAATTATACAAATTCATCCTCTTGCCCATGCACCTGTCTTCTTGACTCAAAGAGGCTAAAGATTCATTTTTACATGCCTCCTTAATTTTATTTCCAAACTTCAGGGTAGCGCAGATGGATGCACACCTCATTAAACAGACACAGCAGGTCTGGACCAAAAAACATTAAGGATGTGTCAGTTACGAATTATGCCCTTAACAAAGACTTGAGGTATATATAATGAATTTTTGGCTGACTACATTCTGCCTTGTTTGGCTGCCTACCCCAAATTAGTGGACACTTCTTCTGAGGCATAACTGTTAGGTAATGAAGGATTTAAACAGAGCTATTATAATGTTATCAGCAAAACAATCTTTTCTTCCCTACAAGTACACAGCATTTCTTCACCTACTAATACAGTACATGCAAACAAGGGATCTGGACAGAAAGAAGGAAGGAGACCATGCAATTATAGACAAATGGATGCATGGAAAATTCATTAGGATTGGCAGGCTGAATCATGTGAAAAAAACCCCCCAAACAATTCAGCATTGTGAGCGTAGCATTTTATGCCAGAAAACAACCTGAAAGAACTGATGAAGAGAAAGAAACCAAAGCCCAAGCAGCAAACCTTGACAAGCAGACTAGACCCAGACAAGTTAATGATGGAAAACACTTTTCCCCTTTCCTCCAAGACAAAGAAAATAAAACTGTACATGCTTGCTGCCCCAGAATACCCAGGTATGTGTGAAACAGAGGAGACTAAAAAGAAGCCAGCAAGGTGTCTCATTCTGGCTGATTTACATCCATCTGTTAACAAAGGTTGCACAACCATCCACATAGGGGAAGGGCAGACTGGTGAGCAGAGCACAAGACTAGGGGTTTAGGAGATCTGACACTCCTGGCTCTAATTTAAACTTCATAATTCACTATAGACAAATTGCTTAAGCTCTAATTTGTTTGCCTGGAAAATAGGAATAGTACTTTTTTTTCTCTCTCTCAAGGATAAAATATCTAATGTTTTTAAAGTATTTTCTCATATTTAGACAAAGGAACATTACACTATTGAACACTTATAATCTTGCCATAACGCTAACCAAAGCAATATAATTTTCCTTAAAGACAAGACACTGAAGTCAAAACTAGCTGTAAAAAGCCATGCACATGAGTTATGTCAGCGGTCATTTAAGAAACATTAATATGAACAATTCTGGCATCTGGTTTATTCAGGTTTCCACATGGCCATATATGGAAATGTAATTTCTTATTCAATACAAAATGGGAGGCAAGATACTAATTCCAAACCTGGACTCTGTACTGCCCCCATGCCCTCCTTCAAAACTCTGAATCCTTGAACAGGGTTGGACTTTACTGGATCTTACCAAAATCATGTGCCAGTTCTAAATCTGAAACGGCAGAGGGCAAAGGCTTAAATGGCTCTGTAGGTCCAAGAAAAAAGTAGGATTCAACAAAATACAAGGGACTTTGGTGACAATCTCATTTTCTCATTGAGAACTGCTTTGCACCGATGCCTTAATGGGTTTATCTATGACACAAGACTGCTAAGCTGAAACACACTACCACTGCTTTGCCAATGGTAGCATGCAGTTGCACGACTTCTGCTTTGGAGGCTGTTAGTGCAGAGCTACACACAACAGTCAGCACATTTTTATGTTGAGGACTTATTGATTATCCTTGGTTAAGCAGTTACAGTCAATACTGAAAACAATAGAACCATTTACAGGTCAGGACTGAGGTGCACTAGCAAAATTATGGGGGAAAATTCACTAGTTACTCTAGGTTTATATCAATTAAACATATTTCAGAGTCTAGCTAAGTGAATATTACTTAGTATATCAGTAATTAAACTATACTCACCTTTTCAAAATTTGCAAGAGTAGCATTTTAATAAAAATATTCATTTTTATGTAGCACTCTAGTGGCACATTTTCCTCAACTTTCAATACAGTTTAAAACGATAAAATCTTTTTTGAAATTGTTGACATGACACTTATTAGATGAGATGGAATGCGCTGACATCAATACTAAAAATAACTCACCATTTTGCAAGATAATTGGTATGCAAGCATGAAGTTACAGTTGTGTTTATTGTATGCATTCTTTTGCCAAATAAGGCAAATAAAGCAAGTTGTCAGTAGTTTATACAAGCTCAGAAACAAGCTAAAATGTAACTGCACAAAGAAGATAACAGAAAAGAAATCTAGATTTTAACTAATATAGGGTTTAAAGAACAAATGCTGGACCCTAAAATGACCAAAATTTGTTTTAAAAATAAACAATCAGTGATGAGTGAAGGACAGAGAAGTTAAAAGAAATTATCCTATATTGAACCATAGCTATGAAAAGCATTAAAAAAATTAAATAATGAGTGTCAGCTATCAATTTACTGCCAGAAAATAAAATCAATAGCTAACAGTTAACAAAACAAAGAACTATCAAATTAGTTATACACATTTGTAGCAGTCTTGATTTTGACTTTGCAGTTTAGGACTGATCAATACTTAGGGATCTAAGTTGTACATAGGCATTTGAGTGCTTTTTAAAAGAAAAACAGTTTGTTAATGTTCTGTTTCTTAAGGGAAGCAAGCACCTTCATATGCTCTTGTCTTTAAAAGCAGGTTTATAAAGGGTGGAGATCAATTTAACACCATGTTGCTTAAATTATTAACAAGTTAAAGCACACACTTCACTTTTCCGCCTAACTGTTAAGGCCAGACAATGTTTCCTGGTTTTCATTACAGTGAACAATCCCAGTTTGTGAGAGGCTACCCAAGCTTATTAAAAAACACCCCAGCCTTTAAAAGACAAAAAACCCCAGACAAAAAACTTTGAATAAGAAAAATCAGTCAAGTCAGTCAAGACTAGTCTTTCATGCATCCCTACCCATCGATAATAATTTCATCCAGACATTTTGCTAAACTAATCCATGAAGTGGAGTTTCAGTGGATACAAACATATAGCCCCTTTAGGGTCTTTTAAAAAAAAAGACTAATTCAAATATTTAATAAACCAACAATAGTAAATATTTAAATCAGAAACTGTGACAAAGAATCATTCAGAGTATGTAAAGCACATTTTAAAGAAACCAGAGTTATATAAATCGAGAAGTCTAACCTTTTAATAGCTTTGCTTCTTCCACTTTGGTTAGATGTCCCTCGTCTATGAGCTTGTCTGCCAAACAAAACAAGAGTTACTATCCCAGCTCAAGTTAAGCATTTCCCTGTACGTGTCTACACAGTCTACATTCCATGACCGAATTAAAAGCTGATAATATTACTCTATGACCATGCTTGAACAAAAACTTTAGTCTGGCATAGCAAGAGAAGCAGATTATCAAAAGTCTGCTGTAATATAAAGCATAATGAACACAGCAGAATTTATATTAGACCTTTGCTCTACAATTTGCTGAATAGCTTCCAGAGTCAAATTCTTCAGTCCTCCAGGAAATTAATAAAGGACTAATTTTATTTTAAATAAGTTAGGCAGAACTTCTTAGAAAAAGCTATTTTATAAAAAAACCCAAAGGTTTAAGCATTTACTTCCACCATAGACTTCCATGTCTGGTACTGTGACAATCTGGAAACAAATTGCAGGTGGTGTCAACAGGCAGGGAGAATCTAAAAAAGATCTCTATATCTAAAAACTCTCTGAGATTTGCCAAACAAAACTGTTTTGGTGCTAACTAAACATACTTTTGTAAACTGCCCAATTTAGATGTGGGAAGCTCCTTATCTGTATGCAGTAGTTAAGGGATGGAGTTTGCTTGTCTACATCATATGCTAGCAAATGTGCATGAACACTTAAGGAATTGGCAAGTTTGTTGCTCAATTACAGCCACACCATAGAGCACACGAAGGCAAAAAATAAGTACACATGGAAATTAAGTATGAATTTATGAAGGAACGAATTGTTAGAACTGTTGAACTAACTAGTAACTAGCTGGTAACTTCATGAAAGGTGCTTCCACAAAGGTCCTTCAAACTTAAAAAACATCTAGTGGTTCCAATTCTCAGAACTGCCATGTGCCTTGCATCTTAAAAGTCTCTCTCCTACCATCCATCTTTGGCATCTGGCTATGTTTTAGACACGGATCAGGGAATATTCCCCTGCAATTTCTCTTATTGGCTGGGAAGAGCTATGGTGGCAACAGGTTTCAGGCTGCCTCTCTGTCTGTTTCCTGTGCCCCCGCCCTGCTGGATTCTAGCAGAGAAGCAAGAGCTTTAAACAGAATGGGATGCCCTTAGAGGACAAAGCAACTGGATGTTTAGCCTCATGTCCTACTTGTGGAGAAGCAACAAGGTGCAATGGGAGTACCTTGACGGTAATGAAAAGGGACAGAAGGCTCACGACTGAGAGCTCATATTGGAAAAGGACAAGAGATGTGGGGTACAGGATAATGTGAGGGGGAAAACAAAAGACAAATGGTGAAGTACAGATTGGGAGACAGTTGTATAGAGATTAAAGAGATACATAATGACATAGAAGGAATAAGCATAGAAATCAAAGCAATATTATAACTTTAATACTCTACTAAAGAAAGTTTGCTTAGTCAATCATCTTCCCTTATGACTCAACAGAAGAATGTGCACAAGTAATTTTCATGAAGAATTTCAGGGTTTAAATGATGATTACACCATTTTGTTAAATTTCATATCATTATTGCTATCTTACATAGACTTAGTAGACTTCCAAACAAATAGCATGTGGTTTGTCATGACTAAAGACATCTCTCTCACCTCAACACTAGTTCACAGTGATGTGCCATCATCTCTTGTACTAGGCTACCTAGATGCATGTCAAGTCGTGTCCTCTTTTATTCTAGCTTGCAGTCAAGGCACTCTCACTTGAGATTTTCAAAAACTGAAGGGGAGCAACATTTGGCCTGCACTCCCCTCTCTGTCTACTTAAGTTCATCTGTGGGGTGTCCACACTAGTGATATCATCCATGCAATGAATACAAAATTATCAAAGCAAGAGATTCTTGATATTTGCTTGTTGAAAGGCACCATCACAAGTCTGACAAAACCATACCAAGATAGAGAGACAGAGTATGGAGAAACTAAAGATGAGCTACGAGAAAGTGAGAAACTGGGGGAATATAACCCACAGAAAGTAGACCTCTCACCAAAAAATGCAAAGCAAAGGGTGGGGGGAAGTATTCCTTAAATTTCTGTGCAAAAAACCCTTTGAGAATTTATCTACTAACAGGCTGCATGCACCAATAAATGCATGTAAATCTGGCCTAAAATTGCTCAGAACAGCATGAATAAAGCAGATGGCAGCATGGCAGAACTTGCCCACAGTGGCTCCTGTATGCTGTGCTCTAGACATGATATTGGAAGAAGATAGTGAAATTGAAGCCTCCTGGGCAAGGGAGATCTGAAAGGAAGTAGACGTGTTGGAAATGGATGCTTATTCACTGGAAGCAATGTAGCCATAACTGTGCAGACAGACCAATTAGCTTGGGGATAGCTATTTGGCTTGGAGACCACTTAGCATGAGCGATTAATAAAAGAATTCCTCAATTCTCTCTCAAGCAATTCCTCTGAAGCAAACTTGAGAGTGTTGCTGCTGAACAGTTTATGGTGAGGACACAGCCAAAGACAACAGCTTGAAGAAAATGGCTTTGCCTCCTTGGATTTCCATAAACTACTGGATTGTCACACTGGAAGCATATAGTGTAGAAAAGGTAAATGACTATAAATAGTACATTACATTCCTACTGAGCTGGTCACAAAAGAATACAACCTCCAGAAGTAGATCTTAGGACTCTGAATATTTAGGTGAGATGGACAAAGGCTGTAGATCTCCATAGTCCAGCTTGAAGATCATGAAGAGGTTCTTGGGAGAATCACACATTTACACACCATCTTCTCAAAAGGAAAATGAACAAAACCAATTTCTTCCCAATCATCCTCCAAGGAAAAAATGGAACCCTACACAGAATCTTCCAAAGGAATCTGCCTTTCTGGAGTAAATATCTAAGATTTTGTTCTACTGGGGATACCAACCAACTCCCTCCTGTGCTATTCTATGAAGAAAGACACAACAGAAGGCCAGTCAGGATCCAGGCTAACCCACTCCTTTTGCAAGCAACCCCTTTTTGACAGCGAATATGAAAGAACAATGAGGTTGTTTCTATTCCTAGAGCTGCAGAGATGCCCTGAAACAGAGAAAAAGGCTAGAAAGCCTGTTCCCCAAGTGCTATGGTTGTGTTTAGCAAGTTTTTTGGAGAAGCCTTCAAAAAGAACCTTTGTAGATAAGAGTACAGAAGAAGAAAAGATGTTACTTAACTAGGTTATGAATTTCCTTTAAAAAAACAAAGAGACACAACTAGAAGACAGCAGAGATACTAACTAACGTCACAAGTGCATCAACTTGTGATGTGCAATTTGAGTCTCTGAACTCCTGGAAGAATCATTCTTGGGTTCTGGTCTCAAGAGTCTGCAGGGGCTTCTAAAGCATAATACAATAACCAAGGTCAGAGCTGGTTCTACCCCTCTTTCAGGCCTGAATATAGAAACTGTCATTGAGTATGCAGATGGGTGGAGCAGATCCTTAAGGCTGCAGGAAAAAAAATCTACACGAGAGACACTATCAGCCTTTCATTCTGGATTGTGTGTGGTGGGTCTTTTTTGGTGTTGTTGAGAGGAGAGTCCATTTGTCCCTCCCTGATAGATGCCATTCCAAAACTCTACTGAGGTTTGGGATAAAGACAGCATTTCAGTCATATACCAGCTGCAGCTGCTCCCAGGGGAGGGTGCGAGCAGCTGGGGAAATCTGCCTGCATGCTTCGAGAATGTCACACTCAGATTAGCTACCACCTGCCTAATATAAAGACAAAAATGACTCATCCATTCCAGTGGCAGTCAACGCCATGAAGCAATTACACAGGATAAGCTTGTAGCCTGGCTCTGACAACAAATCGATGATTTTGGAACTTCTACAATTCCCTGTATGGTAAAAATTGAAAGCCATCTAGAGAGAAACGAGTCTTTTTGACCTGTCTCCTCTTCCTGGAAAAAAAAAAAAACTTATTTCAACAGTCTCTCTTTTTTATTATTTATTGCAATTAACATTAAGGTTAAAAAACATGCTTAGTCCACCATAACGGTTCATTGTGTTTTAGTCTGTGTGGACAAAGTATTTTAACATAAACATCATGAACTATAGCTCAATTTTATTTTAAACTGACAAAGCAGTGGCAAATAGAAGCAACCTCATTCAAACACAAGTGAAACAATTCAAAGCTGTTACTGGTAACATTATTTACTTTTAGTGACTAAGGTCCTCCTCTGCTATACAACAATTTAACAGCAGTAAGCAATCTGAAAGCTAAAAACATGTAAATCCATGCAAGGTGCAATGAAGCATTAGTGTATTTCAAAACAAATAGCAAACAGTTTGTTTCAATTCGTCCATTTTTATACACGAACAGGAACAGATTATCACCCTCTGAATTAAGCATAAGATTACTCTGTAATTTTGTAGCGAGTTATAACCCAACATGACTAAGGGTGACAGAACCTGGATCACATTCAGGGAATATTAAGTGACATTTAATACAATGCTGTTAGCATCTTGTGACCACTTTATTTTAGAGAGAGACTTAGGAGGCAAACCAGATGCACAGTTTGCTAAATATATGCATTTCTATTATCAGAATAGAAAAGCAAGCAAAGATTTCAGGTTTAATTTTTCATGAAAGTACAAATAGTTTTTAACTATTGTATTATCCAGTGACTGTCCAATGAGAAGGCAAGACACACCAGTACAGCAAACTAGCTTACTGTAACAAATTATTTACTTGAAGAGTAAATTTTTCAGTTCATCTTTAAAGACAGGCTTGTGTTGGTACATTTTTATTTATGTCAAGTGAAGATGACCTGGTGTGGGTTTTTTTCCCCCTCCCCTTTTTTCCTTTTAACAAAGGGTAGTCTACTTTTTTCTGAGAATTACCCTTTGTCTTTGTTTGGACCAGGGTTGGGTAATTATTTCAGCTGGAGGGCCACTTAATGAGTGTTGGTGAGCTGTCAAGGGCCACAAACATAATCTTTCATAAGGTATCATTGTAATATATTAGAGATTAAAAACAAAGCATATATTAAAAACATCAAACATCTACTCTACTTTTATCATTACTTTATACACTTTATATATTATATAATTTA